TTCATACTCATGCCATATTTAGCTTTAAATGAATATTTAAGTTGAACTAATATTTATATTTTTTAACTGAAAGCAATAGTAACATTGTGAAATTAATTTGATTTAAATTTTGTAGCAAAGTAAGATTTTTACCCTGAAAGGTTTTCATTTTATTTTTATTTCATTCATTTATTTTTCTAGCTGATTATGAAGCAAACAAAAGAAAAGAAAGCATACTTGCATGTATAAAGTACATATAAAGGCAAAACATAATTAGCTAAGAAAAAGGAATGGAAAGAAGGAACAAATTAAATTCCACCCATATCTTACATTTTAGACCAATTCAAGTTTTATTTAGCTTTATTATAACTTCAGTATAAAAAGAAAAAAAAACATGTAACTGTTACCCCTCCAAGGCTCAGCTCGGAGTCTTATGTTATCAACCTGTGATAAAGAATAAAGACAGCACACGGGTTGAGCTGATGATAACTTTTTAATGAGAGGATTTATTAAACTTTTAGTGTCCTTCTATCTAAATATCCATACTGACTAGTTATGTGAACTTAGTTACGTCCAGAAACAACATCTCATGGCCACAGCTTATTTATGTTATTCTAGTCATTAAATTCAAATAAACCAAAGTAAAATACACGTTGTTTAATCATGAATCAATTTTCTTATGCATCACACTGTTTCCACTATATCGAAATTTGTTTTATTTTTATCATTAAATTAAATTCAGTTTTTATAACATGTCTTTTTTTTTTAAATAAATTCCAGTTTTTAACATGCAAACACATTTACATTTTTTATATCATAACCCATGAGCTTATTTGAATCACATCATGAATTACTAATGCTTTTCAAATGTTTAAATGGCACCTTTAACCACATGAACTGCACTTAGCTGCCATTTACTGTATTTCTATACTAGATTGCAATAATATTTGATTGTGGTTGGAAATAATGCAAAAAAATGTCAATCTCAGTGACAAAACAACCATTAATGATATTAAATGAAAATATCTAATACATCTATAGTTTGATTCACATAAAGTTTGCAAAACCATAACTGGTTAAGGTTAGCACCAGTGCACAGCTCTACTCTCTATCAGTTGCTTTTTGCCCCTTGGTGGCAAGTATAGGTATAGCGGTTACTCATTTCAAGTTAAAATGGTACCATANGCTCCCAGCTGCTGCTGCTGCTGCCGTCCACCTTCCAGGACAGACTCCAGCCGGAGGGGAAGCCCTTGTTGGCCAGACACATGAGGGTGGCCTTCCCCTGCTGCAGCTCCTCACTGGAGGGGGGCAGCACTGTCAGGGTGGGACGGGTGTCACCTAGGAGACACCAATCAAGTTAGAGAACAGGAACCAGACAGTTGTTAGTCAAACAGCAGAAAGCAGTGAAAAAAACCCTGTAAGAATTTTCAGTTAAACTTTATTTTCCACTCCATCAGTCACTCTCTCACAGATTGTTTCACTTCCATTAAAGGAACCTTTCATGCATATCAGCACACAGAGCCCTGATATGACCTTAAAAAGTATCAGAGAAATAAACTGAAATATACTGTATATCTGACTGACCATAAAAAGGATAACTACTGTAAACATAACAGTATATTTCATGTATTCTCTATTTTACACTCTCGCAATAGTTCAATAGCATTAACTATAACTCATTTTAACTCTTAAACTAATAATCTCTCATCGAACAATTAAACTTTTGTTAACAAATCAAACCTTTTGAGTTATTACAGAACATTATTGATTAGTGAACTAACTTTAAGGAAACTTTCAAAGTTTAAAAAATACAAACTAGAGATAATAATGCAATGTTCAAAAGATCTAAACCATTTTATAATTAAATAAATGAGTAATAAAAACCTTTAAGGTACGTAAGTATTTGTAGTAATCAGAAACAAACATCATTTTAGGATGTCGTCGTTTTCATTGCAACGTAAAGGTTTTTGTTTTCTCTCTTTCTCTACACATAATTCTGGCGGATAACACTAAAGTAGTCCTAATATATTTTTCAACACACTGCAATAAAATTTGAATTTTTTACTTCTGCTTCTGCAATTTTAGACAATAAACGTGTTTTTATTGTTAATAGAAATATAAAAAAAATAAAAGAAATGTCCAAATCTCTAAGTTTAGAGAATTAAACTATTTTACATGATCAACTTAAAGTTGTTAAAAAATGTCAATATTCTACATTTAACACTTAGTCTTTTTCATCTTATTTATTTTTAAATATTTAGAAACTTACTTCCAACATCCAGTCTGGTTCCTCCACCAAAAGTCCACCACAGTGATACAAACTAATTGAGTCGTCGTACAAAAACCTCTGACTGTGGAGAGACACGGCTCTCTGACTCTGAACACAACAAACTAATTCTGGTTGAAAAACAAACATTTTCTCATGTATTTTTTTGCCT